CGCCGGGCGCATGTGTGTGCGTGCCCAAAATCCCAAGAGGAGAATGGAGGAGAAGGGATTGAGGCGTGACCATCCCCCCTGGGGGGTGATTTCTCGCTTTCTGTCTCTATGTCTCTCTCTGTCTGTCTGGCGAGTGCACGTGCCCAAAAGTCACAAACAAAAAAAAAAAAAAAAAAAAAAGAAGGCTCAGTCATCGTTTGTAGTCAAGTCAGGTGGGATTGTTTAAATAAATATAAAAATGTAACTACCCATTTTCTACTGCAAAAGTTGTAAACAATTAGGTTTTTCAACTATGTCAGATGCTAGATTTTATTATTTTTTTGAGATTTAATTTTGTGTCATACATAAAGAGAACATTTGCAAAGCATTTTTTCATCTAACACATAATTGGTGTGTGCAATTAATAATTTTTTTCCAATTTATATTTGTTCTAGAAAATTAAACAACGTAAAAATAAGCAAACAGATGATATCCTCACCAAGGAATTGTTACTTTCTGTTCATCCTGAGTCACCTACTCTCAAAACTTCCCTGTGTTTTAAAGAACAGACTTTGCTACCTGTGAATGATGCTCTTCGAACTATAGAGGGCAGCAACCCAGCAGATAATCGTTACAGTGAATATGCAGAAGAGTTTTCCAAGTCTGAACCTGCTGTCGTCAGCTTGGAGTATGGCGTGGCAAGAATGACTTGTTAGACTCCTAAGTGTTTTCTAGACTGCAGGGCAAGAAATGGGTTATTTGCAAGGATGATCTGTGCCCATGGCCAAAAGGAACTTGTCTATTAATGATTTTAGGGTTTAACAGTAAGTTAATAGTTGAAGAAAGGATAATAACTGCTCTTGTGAGAAAAATAAGTCAGTTTAATCGCATTTCTAGCAAGTAATGACAGTCAGTTCTATAAGAAATAAGTGGCACTTGTTAGATTTACTCAAAAGAGAATTCTCACTGTACACTAGTGAATTGACCGCTCTGTATGATTTATATGTTAATTACAGCCAAACATGAACAGCCTTCCTTAAATGTAATTTAACTGCAAGAAAGCAAAACTTGACAAAATGGTCCTTAATAAATAACATGGCATGTGCGTTCAATTATGTAACTGTGTAACTATGAATATTTACTTATTTTGCCTATTAGTGATGTTTAATGTTGAAGTGCCATGAATAATATTTCTAAGAAAGCCTTAAAAAAAATCTCAGTTTATTCTTTACCCATAAGTTTTATAGCCAGAACAAGATTTTTTTTATTTTTGATCTTCTTCTGGTCAGCCTTGTTAGTATTGTAAAGAATTGTGCTCCCATGACTATAGGCATTGCATGCTACAATACTCCGATACAAACAGTTGCTGAAGTACATTGTTTAGTTCACGTTCAGCCTGCCTCACTTCCATATTCAAAATGAATGAAGCTGAAGGTTTTGTTCTGATTACACTTTGTTTAGTGCTACTTTTGATGATTTACTGTTCACAGCTTAGACTGATAATCGATTTCTTGAAATACATATAAGCACATTTGACTGTCTTTTATATATGGATTATAGCATTCTGTTGATTATTTTGTGATTGGCTTTATTCCTTTGGTAACTTTTAAATTTAAAGAACTGAAGCTCTAAACTGTTCTTAGAAACAGTGAATAATACATACATACATATTTAAACTGCCTTATCTTTCAGTGAGTTGCTATTTCTGCAATATACAACTTTCAGTTTACGTAAAAACTTTTGGGTTAAATAAAAAGGGAAGTATGGATAGATTAGATTTTGCTTGGGTGCATGAATTTTAAAACATTTCTATGTGGGACATATTTTTCTTCTCAGTTAAATATAGAAGAAAAGGAAAATTAAGGAGAACTTAGCATAAAATTAATGTTTAACAAAAGCAGCTTAAACTCTGGAAAAGGTTTCAGTTTTACTATGTGATATTAATTGTTTAGTCTGCATACTTGTACATATCTTTAAATAACAAACAAATTTGCAACTGTATCAGTATCACCCAGCTGGCTGTAACCTTGACAGTTTTAGTAACTGGGTGACATGAGGCATCATTCAAGCATATTAGGATACTAGGAAATGTGCATAGGACCCCTCATGCTTCTCGTTAGTACACCTGTATCTATTGTCTTGGTTTTGAACATAAACATCTTTTTCATGTGAAAAAAAGCTTTATCATATCAAAGCTTATCTGATCCTGTTTATTTTTCCAGTGATTTTTCTGTAATACATTATATAATAAGAAAAATACTCCTTTTTAAACAATAACAAATGTATTATTGAATATAGTATGTGATTATTAACCATTCCTATTTCCATATTTAAGCCTTGGGAAAGGGAACTTAATCTCTGTAACTACAAAGGGAAGCTTTTGTGCCTTGGTTCCAGTCATTGATTGTGGTTTTAAAATCTTCTGTGGCAGATTTTTTATATTCAACTCTTTGGTTTATTATCTCTTTCTTCAACTTTAGGCCTATATGCGTGCGTGCGCGCGTGTGTGTGTGTGTGCGTGTGTGTGTGTCTGTCTGTATGTTCACATATGGACTCAAACATCAGTTAACATTTTAAGTGACCTATCGGGCATATGTTGGCAAAAAGCAGATTGTGTATATGTCTTTTAAAATCGGATTTTTTTTCAATGTGTTTAGATGTATTGCATGTAAATTATTTCATTTACTATTTAAAGGCAATTAAATGTTTGTTTTATTTTGAATGTTTTTCTTTTGGGAAAAAAGAAAAGGGGCTGGATGATGCAGCAGTAAAATGGAATGCTCTGAGGCTGACCCACCTGGGAGGATTCCAGGTTTGCGCCCGGATCCCTCCCCGAGTGTGTCAGGCACGCGTGTGTCCATGATCTGGGACTGGCTAAAGCTGTGGGTGGGTTGTGGCATTTAGACCCTGTTGGGGGTTCTCTTTTTGTCTCTTTTCATTTCTCCCACCCTTCATTCCTTCCTCCCTCCTTCCCCCTCCTGTTGCTCATGGAAGAAATAAATAAATTTTAAACAAAACAAAGTGACAATAAATAAGATCAAGTCGCGTGGTGAGTTTTTTCCTCTCACCTAGGAGAATGGATCTCCATGTTTCATTAACATAACAGTTTAAAGTGAGCAGTTCGTTTTCCAACAGATGTTGATAAATAATACTTATGTACAAAAAAATTTTGAACATATTCATAATAGGCATAATGAGCTAAAAGGCTCAACAAATATCATGAATACTAGTATTAAATTTTTCTTTCACCTCATCACTTGCAGATCCTCCAATCAGTATTTTATTATACTCTTGCCAGCTTGGTGGTTGAAGGCATGATCCAGCGAGTACATACATTCAAGGTAAAAGATCTCTCCAAAGGCATGCCTTGATGTTAATACAAGGAAGATATCGACTGGCTGAAAAGAGGAAATTTTGTTGTGGGTATTTTGAATAGGTCAGCTAGGCTGTAGCTTAGGGAATCTTGAGTAAATAAAGATAAAGGGAACCTTTCTTCTTTTTAAATTCTATATATTTGAGTAGCAGAACTGGGATGAGGCAAGTGTCAGTATATATATACATATATATCTATACATAGATACATGTTTTATAGATGTTCAGCTTCAAAATACTGAAAAATGTCCAGTTTTCTTTTTCATTGGAGTAAATGCTGATTATCTACAAAACTATGTAACAATTTCAAACTTTTATTAGGACATTGATCCATTTTCATTAGTCATGTTTAGTTATTTTGTTGGCTTTTGCATGTAGAAGTCCAAGAGACATTAGCAAACCTTGACTAAATAAATTGTGGAAGCTATTATACTTATGTTTGTGTGTGCATGTGTAAATTGTAAGCTTTAGAAACATATTTAAAAGATATCCTGGAGTATAGAAAAATATCAAAAAAGACCCTGTGCTCTTGTCATTGATGTACCTTAAGAGAAAATATGAAACATGCATCCCTGCCATTTTAATAAATACTACGATAGTTAGTTCTAGGAAAACACAATATCCTTTTGCACAGTACCTTTTATAAAATAGCAGAATGTATACCTGAAAGCAACTTTTCAGAAGGTGGTAGTAGACTCTACAGCCCTACTCTTGGATATCTGATTCCTTAGGTATGGCCTGGGACTCTCCAGTTAAAAGCATTTGCTTAGCAATGAAGTGTTGCATTGGGCAGTATTTTGGAGACTGTGATAACAAATACTCATGGAGTCACATTTTGGAAAGCACTACCTGAAACCACCCACCGTAATTAAATCTTGTTGTTGTTGGGATGCAGAATTACTCCTGTACAAAAAGCAGCAGATTGGAGAACAGTCACACGTCTAACATTTTTAAATAAGTGGGAGCGAGAGGATTTTTTTTTTTTTGGAGAGGTTTTTGCTATAGGGCGCATGTGCTCGCCAGACAGACAGAGAGAGACAGAGAGACAGAAAGCAAGAAATCACCACCCAGTGGGGGTGGCCATGCCGCAATCCCTTCTCCTCCATTCTCCTCTCGGGATCTTGGGCACGCATGTACACGCGCCCAG